CATTTGTGGTTTTTTAGGAGAAAACCTGTCGCTCGTTGGAGAAAGTGTGTGAAGGATAGCTGCTGCGAATGTTGGCGGCAGCAAGGGTGTCCATGACGTGTAATATCTATATCCGAAGGGCCAAACGAGGAGGAGTCCTCAAAGTCACGAGAACGTCCCCAAGAATGTGAAATGCGACCACGATGGGCCATTGCTACGACAAGAGCAGAAAAACCCACAACGTCGTCAGCAGTCGGTTTTGAGGTCGATACGAGGAAGAAAGCGACAAGGCTACAGTTAAGCTTAATTTAGTTTGCCTTCCTTTATTAGATGATTTTAGTTTAAGTTTTCTTTTTTATCTGCGTCAGCTTAACTTATTGGATTTTACCTATATTGTGTTATTTAAATTTCTTTTTAGGCTCATCATTAGCATGTGTTATTTATCTTATTTTGTGTTCCACTTTACCTTACTTTCGGAAATCTGCAGTTCTTTAGAATGATTCACAAAGTTGAGTAGTTTTCGATCTTTGCGTGGTTGCAAATTATGTTTATGCGCGCTTTTTGTTGCGAAACGTTAGATTATTGAAACAATTATTTCTATTTTGTCTATCATCTTACACTCTGCTTTTATTTTTATCTACGTTCTTTTGTAACGCACGCACTATATATAACCTTTATTACCAGCGGTCCATCTTACACAAAAGCGGGGTTTTGGCGTGCTGTTTAGTGATTTACATTTAACTTCCACTGCAGATTACCATCAAAAGAACGGTTTTGCCAAGTTTGGCACATTGCGACATACACTCTTTCTTTCATCATCCCGGAGGAGGAAGAAGAAGAGACGATTTCTGGGACCAAGGTGTATTTTGGCTGACGTTTCAAGAGCGTGCTCGCTTTCATCGTCAGAGCGTGGTGTCTAAAGTCCTGTTTGCGTCAGATGAATGTGTCCGACCATTAGCCTTGCTTAATGCCCATGTGTCTATCGATTGCACCGATCGATTTCTGTGGCTGGTTGAATTGCTCGCGCCCTCACGGGTGTCTTCATGAGCTGTTTCAAGTTGTTTTTGTGTCTCAGGAGCAATTCCACCCTCTTTGCTCGCGGCTGCCGGCTGTCGGCCC